CATTTCCAACAGATGTTCCATGTCTTTACCCATACAAAAAATGTGGTATCATCTGCAAATAAAACACATTTCAACAACTCTGACACATTTACCAAGTCATTCAGATATTAAAGAAATAACTTTGGTCCAAGTACAGAACCCTGTGGAACTCTACATGTAAGGTTGCAGAGTTCAGATCTTATATTTATTTGTACAAACTGTTTCCTGTTTTTTAGATAACTAAATCACTCTAATGCTGGTCCTCTTATGCCATATTTATTTAACTTTTCAAGAAGAATACTGTGATCAATGGTGTCGAATGCTTTCCTTAGATCAACAATTACCCCCAGGCCTMAAAACAAAACAGTTACAATGTTATAGTCTGCTCAGATACTGTTCGCCATGAAGGATTATAACAGAAGTCGTTTCTACAACACGGTGCACAAAACTACATATGAGAAATTTATTGAAGTCACAAGTTCTACATAGAGCATGAAATATGTGCAGTTACTGAACTGTATGTTAGTTTAAACATATACATATTTTTAAAATTTCAATTTTATTACATTTGGGTAAGTGTTGTGTAGTGTCGACAAATTGTCCTTTCCATCATTTAAGTTGCATATCCCTGCATATCCACTATTTCATTATATGAAACTGGTTTAAATGAATATGGTGTGTTTTCTACTTTTGTGTTTTAATCAAGATGATCTTGTCTGTGTATTAATATTCATTTGGTTGGGTAGAGGGAATTTCCAACAACAGGATGTAATTTAATTTGCAGCTTAACAGAAAAAAGCCTTATTCCACAGAGTGAATAGGCAAGATTAATCCATGCAAATATCAAATCATTTAAAAATGTGGGTTTAAATACAAGAAAATGGTCTGTTTTTACTTTTTGTTCTGGTTTTAATTACCGTGCCCCTCCAGCCTTTATTAACCCCTTGTTTGTACAATCAAAAGGTCTTCAAAAACATGACATTTGTGACCTGCTTTCATGTAGTTTGCAGTATAATTTTTTTTAGACACAACCTTTTCAAATTTACTTTAAAACAGAAAAAAATTAAAACTAAATCCATTCTGGTGCTTTAAAAAAAAATTTTTTGAGTATCAGATTCCTTAAGCAACATCACAAGTCATGGAGTTCATTTGACAGTGATGGACAAACTGAAATGATTACTTTGGAGACGTGTAAATCCCTGTTCACACTTCAACATGTTTCTGAACATCTCCATCTGTCACATCACATCTGTGACGGTGACTAAATTAATGAGAAGAATCATCAGCAGCCTTTAATGCTCTGCGTGTTCAGTTATAAACTGGGAGTTAAAAGGCCCTAAAATGGGTATAAAATTGACATTTGGCTCTATCTGTGTGTTTTTTTGGGCTGAAACTGGTGTTTTCTTGCTGCGCTCTGCTCCACAGTAAGGCTGTAATCACTGTGGGCATAATTAGAGAGGATTCAGAGGGAGGCAGAGATTGTTTGGTCAGACTCGCCCCAGCTAACCCAGAAATAACTGTTTCTGCTCAAACCTGGGTCTAATGCACCTTCTGCAGCATGTTTGCAGCTGCTCTCATTAAACTAAAACATCACTTTGAGGGAGGTTTAAAAAAAACTCGTGAGGTGGTGAAATAAACTTAAATTGCACAAAAAAAGATTTAAAAAATGTTTTGAAAAGTCAAAGGCAAGTTGAAATGTAAGAATCCTGAATTTATAAATGTACAAATCTAAAAAGGAGGAGATGGAGCATCAATGGAGGAGGTGCTGAGAATAGAGGGCTGGGCATCAATTTGCTATGAGGAGACTTTTTAGGGCTGAGTTAAAAAAAAACACTCAGGATTTTTTTTTTTTTTTTAGCTGAGCAGCAGGGCGGGTGAACTCACTCTCCCTTTCTTCTTGTTGCTGTGTCTCAGTTTCATCTTTCAGTCTCCAGCTCTGCCTTCAGCTGCACCTCGGACAAACCAGGGAGGAAACGTTCCGTGAGTATTTCTCAAGCTTTGCTTCGAAATTTGATTTTATCAAGTGGGACTTTGGCAAAATCAGAATGAGACTCAAGTGTGTTGATTTTTTTTAAATCAATTTATTACAAAAGAAATGTCAAGCAGAACATCCCGAGCAGCAGAATCTGACCCAGATTGTAACGTAATGTGTTTTAAAGACGTTCTTCAGGCAAGAAGAACAAAGATCATATTTAAATCTGACCTAACATCAGACTGAACTAAAGTCTGTTCCACAGAATGAGGACTTCTCCAAAGATGTGTCAGTGTTTTCTGTAACAGCAGTGTATTACAGAGCTCTGGATCTGAACTCTTCAGTCTAAATGTTCTGCAGAATAAAACTCTGAACATGATGGTTACAGCTAAACATTTACATTTCCTTTTCATCAGGGTTTATTTTGATTACACATTTTAATCCCATGTTCTGTGTCTGTTTCTAATTTAATGTCAGGTTTATTGATAACTTAATGTTTGTTGATGGATTATTTTTTCAGCACGTCACGAATGTTGAAGTTAGAAAGCATTGGTTTTGATACCTTCCTAAAATAATCGCTTCAGTCTTTTATTTTTTATTTTAGTTTTTCAGGAATGTCAAAAAAGTTGTGGTACGCTTTGTGTTACGTTTTTTGTGTTTCCTGAAAAACTTGGGGGAAAAAATGATTTAGGCCATTATTTTAGTAAAGTATCAATTACATTTTTTTATATTTTTCTTTTCCTCCTTTTTTTTATTAATCAAGAGCAAATCTATAACCTTTTCTAAAGCAATTTACAGCGAGTACTAAAAAAAAGAGAAAGCACTCCACTTGTAGCAAACAGGAAATGATTTATTAGTTTTAATTGACCAACTGTGAATTTTTAATAAGTTGGTTAAATGTGTTACAACGTACTTTTTCCTCCTCAGACACACGTCGCGGAATTGTTAAAGCTTAATTTTGAAAGGCTATAAAAGTTTTTCGGCCRATTTTCATCATTATAATTGATCAGATTATTTGACCAGTTTCAGAAAATTGTATTCAGGAACTGATTTAATCTGTTTTAAAGACTCTAAAACCCGAGGTATTAATAGAAACAGCTTTATGAATGCAGAACACTGGATTAAGTTTAACACCTTAGTTTGATGTAATTATTTTAAACCTGTTAAATAATTTATCATGCATCTCTGCTGTGAAATACAATCTGAAAGATGCTAAAAGTGATGCTGCTCWGTTGTTTGACAGACAGTACGTGTACACACATTTCTATATTTGAAGAATGCAGGTGTTGTAGAATTAATTAGTGATGTTTGTGATTACAGCAGGTTTTTCCTCCGTGTGTGAATCTGTGATGTGAGTGGCGGAGGTCAGTCCCWTGGTGACATTCAGGAAATGTAATTTTAGCTGTAATTACTGGGATCGGAGGTTCTATAGCTGTACATCCAAGGATGGTGACCCAGCCCACCTTGTGGTCCGGCAGAATACACAGCGCCTGTCCGACCACACAGAGTGGAGGGTTCTCATTGTGCAGGGTCAGTCTGAGCAGCATCAGCAGCTTCACTTTAACAGGACGCTGATTAGAGGCTTGTCTTTGCAGCTTGGCGCTGTATAATTACACACTGTTAAAAGTTAAACAGGTTTAAAATGAGAACGGACTGGTTGTAGTATCAGAGAGAGAAGTTTGAAAGACAATGAAAAAGACATTAAAGATCTGGTCAAAARGTGAGCTCACTCAGTTGTACGGTAAGGAAATGCAGATTTTTCTGGTAGCAGAAATCTCTCCATCAGGTCTGCTGTAGGCGGGGGCACAGCTGCTGGTGCCCAGTGTAAATATAGAGGCCACAGCCGCATGTCTCCCACGCCTCGGTGCTCCTGCTGGAACCCAGCTTCCTCCTGGCTTTGGTGTGGTGGATGGGTGGCCTCCCTCTGCTTTACAAATTATAAGGCCTCCAGCACCAAGCTGGCCGTCTCCACCCCAAATAAGTAATGGCTACARTGGTGCCTGCTGAAAAAAGATCTGCTGAAAGACGGAGAGAGAAAACCTTGAGTGAAGACGAGTTTGAACCAGAGGCTCGGGAGCACAGCTAAGAATACAATCTGAATCTGGAAAGTAAAAGAAAGCACACCACTGTACGGGTTTCTGGCTACGTAGAAACATTTACAGGATGTAATGTTCCAGGACACAGAACCTTTTCTTTTAATAAACAAACAGAACTGAAATTATTAATGGGATTTTTGTGACACTTTTGGAGAAATTACCAGTTTTTGCTTTAGAATTACTGAAATTATTAATTTTATAAAACAAATATTCAAGTATTATTGACCTTTTTTGTTAGTGATTTTTTCTCAGGTACAACTCATTACTGGGTACTAATAAGGAACATACCTGGTGCTTACCAAATACCTACCTAGTTCTTACCAGCAATATATAGGTAAGTACTTAGTTCTAACCAGGCAATTATTTGGTATCCAGTAATGCAGGTGTTGTACATATCTGGTATTAACTGGATAAGTACCTGGTTCTTAYTTGGCACATATTTGGTAACTACCAAGTACGGATGTACATACTTGGTTGTTACAGAGCACTTCCTGGTACTTACCGAATACATATCTGTTTCTTCTGGCACACTCCTGGTACTATACCTGGTACCAGCGGTGGGCACAGTTCCCCTAAAGCACTAATGCACTAATAGGGGAACTAATTTCTTGATTAGTGCTTTAGGGCTTTTGTTGATTAAATATTTTTGTAGTGGATTAGCACTTGCTAAATTTACAGGCTAAATTTAGAAGCACTAACTGAGGTCTATAAATGTTATTGATCAGTATTAATATTAACAACTGAGTGTTAAAGCTGTCAGACATTTTGTTCATATGTGTGTCACTTATCCACCAGGTGACAATATATTGACAATAAATGAACTCAAATACAGCTGTGGAATGTCAATGATAAGTCTTAAGAGAGCAACATGACAACATGTGACTCATGYTGTCTGTTGAAGAATGTTCATGGGTTGACTGGGTTATTTTAGTGCTTTAGAATTAGCTTTTGCTAAAACATTAAGTGCRTTAGTGCTTTAGAATTAGGAGACCTAAATATTTGAGTTAGTGCTTTCAAATTAGGGGACCTAAATATTTGAGTTAGTGCTTTAGAATTAGGAGACCTAAATATTTGAGTTAGTGTTTTAGTGCTAGTGGAACTAATTTTTAGATTAGTGCTGCCCACCACTGCCTGGTACTACACCTGGTACTTATTGCGTAAGTACCTGCTTGYTCTGGTACTTGCAGGTTACATATGGTACTTTCTSTATATTTAAAGGGACTGAGTTTGCTTATAATGTGACTTTTTCCTGTACTTACTGGTAAAAATCAGGCATGTACCCAGTAAATGCCAGGCTGCATACTTTAATGCTAGACAAAAAAACAGTTTTTAGTTTCTGTTTATGTTTTYGGGACGTCCAGCCRCTGGTATTTCTACCAATAAACCCTCCTGATTGTTGTTGTTCCAGGACTGACGGCTGAAGATGAGGTCTCACCTGCTTTTCCACGTCACCTGCGTGACTCTGCTCTGGCTCTGCTGCGGGTTGTCTCGTTCCACTCCGCTGTTCTACAACCTGTCGATGGACGGCAGCGGCGACGAGCCGGAGCTCATCTTCCCCACGTCCTTCACCACCCGAGCGCCCGTTCACCTCACCGTGGTCACGGAGCCTCCCACCCTCACCACCGCCATCACCAACACCATCACCACCACCATGATCCGTCTGAAAGACTTCGTCCTGACCCGAGTGGTGGACTTCCTGCAGGAGAACCTGCTCATCATCATCGTCGTCACCTCTCTCCTCATCGTCATGGTCTTCATCATCTGCTGTGCCTCGGCCATGAGTCACAAGCGCAAGCTGGAGGCCTACAAGCCCCTGCCGAACCCCCCCAGGAAGCCCACAGCCAAGAAAAGTGGCGGGAGCAAGACCCCCGGTGAGCTCCAGGACAAGCCGTACGCAGTGGACCACGTCAAGCGGGTCCAGACTCTGAGCTCGGCCTCTCCCAAGCACCTGCGCACCCCCTCCAAGGCTCTGGTGGGGGAAATGGGTCGAGACGTCAGGTCGTCGCCTCGCCAGGAGGTCAGAAAGGTCAGGGAGGCGGAGGAGGTGGAGAAAAGGCGGGAAGAGGTGAAACACAAGGAGGAGGTGAAACACAAGGAGGAGGTGAAGGTCAAGCAGAGCTCCAGCTCCAGCCAGCCGGTCTGCACCTGCCATCTGAAAAACTCCACCCACTAGGGTCCGACCGAGGAGCTTAGTCCACATGAAGACGAGCAAAAGAGGTCAAAGGGTCACGCAGAGAGAGAAGCACCTGAAGTCATGCCTCAATTGAAGGAATTCCCTTATTGTAAAAATGTTCAACAAACCTGAAATGTTCCGAGTCTTTCAGAACACATATTTTAGTCTCATCTGTAGAAACGGTGAAAACRGATAAGAAGAAATGTAATTGTAAACAAAGTAAATCCAGAGCTGACTGGTTACACAGTGAGTAGATAATTATAGAGTATGTGTGGGTTGATATAAAAATAAYGTTTCCCACTATTTTGTTTTTGTTTCAGTATTTAAAATGCATCTGATGAGTCAGCAGATGTGAGCCGAACAACATCTGATCTCTAAATACACATTGAAGGGTCTCCGTGGTCCGTTTTGCCATCCCAGCCCGGCAGGTTTTCCTGCTCTGTGAATTCGTTTTAGTGGCTCCACCACCAAACACAGAACCACAGGGACCTGCATCGCTTCACCGAGATCACACACTTCACTGGAAATAACTCCCTGCAAAAGACTAAACACAAGAACGACCTTTATTGTTTAAACAGCCGAGCGGTGTTCCAGCAGACGGAGCAAAGAAACACGAAGAGCCTCAAAGATGAATCATTCAAGATTCTGTGAAGAAACACGAGGAAAACAGAAGTGAAGGGCCAGTGATTTTTTTTATTTAACTTGCTTTCATATTTACTTGATTTTTGGTGACTTAGTGTTATTTTATGTATTTTATTCATTTTGCAGTTTGTTTTATAAATCCAAAACTAAAAACCAAAATGAGATATTGCTTATTTAGGTGCTTGATTTCTGTAGATTAAAACACAGAAATCCCCATAGTCATTCTTTCTATATTTATTTGACATTTGTTATCTTCTTTCAGCTGTAGAGTGCAATATCGGCAGATTTACTGATTTCAGGGTGTAGGTTTATGTATTTATAAGATAGATTTAGCTTTTAATTCATAAAGAGTCGATAAAAGAGTCAGAGTGGGGTGATTTTTCAGATCTACAAAACTACCATTTAAAGATATCTGCATTTCAGTTTMATTGCTGAGGTTTTTCATTGTTAATAAATTAATATAAATGTTTGAGCTGTAGTTTCTCTGTTTTATGATGTGTGGCTGTGTCATGGCTAAAAGACATACATGACTTTTTCTGTGACATTTGTATNTTTCTCTGTTTTATGATGTGTGGCTGTGTCATGGCTAAAAGACATACATGACTTTTTCTGTGACATTTGTATTATTTRCAAGATGTTTCTGTTTTTCTTACATTTAATAAAACTCTGGATGGAATTTTTTTTTAAGATTTTCTGTTTTTATTTTGAATGCAGAAATAGAAATGGCGAACGAACTATTTAAATACAGCCCAGAGGAGACTGAAATGAAGCTGAAGTGAGGCACTTCTTAAAATAATTGTTGTCTTTGTGTGTTACATTCAGCTGCTGATCTGTAATTTTGCTCTCTGTCTTCTCGGGACTGATTGCTGGCTATTTTAAGGTAACTGCACAAATGTGAGATTCAGGATTTCTGCTCTGTGATAAGAATCTAGCTGTTCTTTGATTTAAGGTTTACAAAAACAGCAATAACTCCCTCACATTTTCCCTACTGACAGCATCAACCCCAAAATACCCAGAACTGAAAAGATACCCGAACTGGATAGTAATCAGCACTTTGCTTCTGAGCAAAAACTTATCGGTAAAATTTTTTTAGTTCAAATCTTTTGAAGCTGGGTTCTGTGAAAACATAAACAATATCTTACCTGTTGCAGATGGCTCTTTGAATGACTTCAGTTTGGAGAACTGGCTGGATTGACGAGCTAATGGCTAAACAGCAGGGCCAARACTTGTGGCTGGGTGGTGATATTTGTAGGGTGGGCTAACATTTATTAAATATAGATAAAATGCTGCAGATTCCAACAACAGAGACATCCAATTTGAAATAAAGCAGAACAGACATCGGTTAAACTTACCATTAGCTTGTCCTTTTGCTGAAACCAGGTCACAGAAAAACTTAGTTTTGCCACTTTTCCTTTTCCTGAATTTAAATATCCTTTGGTCTATCCGCCCCAAACCTCCTCACTTCCAGTTGTCCCTCCAAAGACATCAAATTAAATAATCCACCTCATTTATGTTAATCTTGCTCTGCATCGTACTCAGCCTACACCCACATACACTTGTGCTCGAGGCATGCTATTGAACATCCTCCCTCATGGGCTGATGTGAACAAAATTAACCCCAATGAGCAGCAAGCTGAGGGGGCGGGACAATTCATCTGTCAATCATTTTTTTCCACAAAAGACAGACTGTTTTTTTTTACCAGTTTTATTGTAAATAACACAAAATGTGATGCAAAACTTGTAATTTGTGTTTACCAGGTATTTTAACRTTTTGATTGTGAACACCGGGGAGGGCTTAGCCCTACCAGCCCACCTACACCAGCTGTGGCTGCATGGCCAAGATCAAAACTGGTTTCTGCCGTCTCAAAACAACTCCAGTCCGTCAGGATTCGTGCAAACTGATTTTCTGAAATGTTTACACTGCAAYGTTTGTTCTGGCAGAAGTAGGTTGATAATCCTGCTAGAAGTGCCTCAATATGCATCTGAGGTGCTACAGCTAGCTGCTGCTGCTATTTGAGTTTTCAAACAACCACAGCGTTAACTGTGAAACAAAAATATAATCCACTTTGGGTTTTAGCCTGGTCAGAATTTATTTATATTTCTTCAATGGGAGTCATCTGTAACAAATGTAAAATGTTCATAATCTTTCCATAAAACCCTACTTTAAAATACATGAACCCAGAGCCGGCTCTTGGCATAGGCGAACWAGGCGGTCGCCTAGAGCGCCATCTGCTGGAGGGGGCGCCGAACTGCAGAAGAAAAAAAGGTACTTATTTGTAATCCCTTGTTTTAACTCTGCTCAGCGCCCGTTTCACTTAGCTTTGTCTTAAAAATCTATAATGAAGTATTACAGAGAAAAAACTACTCTACCCATAAA